CATTCTAGTCCATCACAGCAGGGAAGTCACCATAGCAGCAAGGATTTGAGGAAACCGCTCACATCCACCATCAGGAACAGAGAACAATGAAGGCATACACACTTGCTCAGCTCAATTTCTCCACTCTTACAAAGCTCAGGATTTCCTGCCTAAGGGATGGTGGCACCCACAGAGGACAGTACTTCCCACCTCAATGTAATCAAGATAATTCCCCCCAAAGACATGCCCAGAAGTCCATCTCTGAGGTAATTTTATATTTTATCCAGTTATTTTGGCACTGTCACAGGGATAAGAAAAGGAAAAGAGGGGGCTGGAGAGATGGCTCAGTGGTTAAGAGCATTGCCTGCTCTTCCAAAGGTCCTGAGTTCAATTCCCAGCAACCACATGGTGGCTCACAACCATCTGTAATGAGGTCTGGTGCCCTCTTCTGGCCTGCAGACATACATACAGACAGAATATTGTATACATAATAAATAAATAAATTAATAAAAAAAGAAGAAAAGGAAAAGAGAAAGAAGAAGCAATATTTTAAATTTAAAATATTAAGAGATGGTTCAGCGGTTAACAGAACTGGCTATTCTCCTAAAGGATCCAAGTTCAATTCCCAGCATCCACATGGCGGCTCATAACTGTCTGTAACTCCAAGATCTGACGCCCTAGTACAGACATACATGCACATCAATCCACGTAAAATAAAAAATAAATAAATAAATAAATAAATAAACTTTTTTTAAAAAATGCTTTAAAAAGCATTTCAACACTTGGTCTAAAACATCAAGAATATTTGGGGCTCTGGACAAAAAGGAAGTTTTCGAAAAGTCTCAACTCACCTCAGTTCTTTTACTATGAAACTGTACTTGTAAACTTTGCTTTTTCTTGATTTTCTTTGATCCTGAAAACTCAGTGGATTTTTCTTCTCTATACAGGAATAATGATGTTTCATATCTAAATGACACAGAAATTAGAATAACTTCTGGGTTTTTTATAGCTTTACTTTCCTCTCAAACTTTGAATGTGGAAATTTCCAAATAATATGCTAATCGCCCCATTACCATCACCCAGCTTAAATAACGGCCTACGCAGCCTCAATTTGCCTTTTATTCCTGCTTCCATCCTTTATAAATTTGAAATCTCAGTATTTATTTCATCTACACATATTTCATCAGTATTGTTTTATCTGTAACAATTTGATAAACATCTCTATAAGGCATGTTTTCTTTTTCAAAAAACATTTAACACATCATTATGACATAAAAATTGATAGACATTTCTTAGCATCAACAAATGTAGAATCGGTGTTCAAATTTCCAGCTGTCTGCTAAATATCATAGACTTCAAAACTCTGTATCAGGATGCAGCGAGTTCCCCATGCTTGGTTGGAATGTACTTTAAATCTCTTTCCATCTGCCTAGCCTCTCCGTTTGTTATTCCTGCTGCTGCTGGGTCATTTGTCCTGTAGCTTGTTTGACTGTTACAGTTACTGGTTAATTCAATCCTGAGCAAATTGTGAAATGAGAGAAAATGTCATCATTTATCCACTTCCTTCCTTAGCAGATACCTTGCCCTTTTGGATACTATATCCCCATTAAGTCCAACCCTCCCAAATTCCTATCCTGAGATCCCAATACCTTGTTCTTATCTCCCCAGCCCCCCCCACAAACCCTGAAACTGTCCTATGTTTAGTCACCTATACAGACCTCTGGCGTCAAAGGAAATGGCTTTCAACTATTTTTACTAAGACTCACTGTCTAAAATATGTTTTCTATTAGGAAATAGAGACAGAAAAAGAAACCAAATATATGATAACAGAACCTATTTTACAAAGTGCAGTTGTGTTTTAAGAAACACTCCAGTGTCTTCAATAAAATTTTAATCTATTTCCTTACAAAAAAAAATGGTAGTGACCTCCTGAACTGGTGTCACAACCCATTCATGGGCCACAGTTTGGGATTTGCTATCACTTCGCCTCCCCACACCCAAGCCCTATAGCCTCGATTTGAGACTTCCTATTGACTTACTCAGGGCTTCCACTGAGTTGACCTTTCATGTTGTTTAACGTATAAGTGTGCTTTAAGTTATAAATGACCTTCCACACTTTATGTAAAAGTGAATGGTCTGATAAAAAATAATAAATAAAAACCATTTGCCCTCTATTGCATTCCTTTGGGGCTTGTGTCTCCCAGGGCACAGTATATTCCAAATACTTCTAATGCAGGAGAAGAGAGACTTGCTCTGCCTTCCACTCCTGGCCAGACAACTTTTACGTGGTTTCCCAGCCATAACTACCTTGCTCTTTGCTATCTTCCAAATGTAAAGAGTGGTCAAAATGTTGTATTTAGTTTAACTGCCTCTCCATAATGACATACAAGTAATTGCTAACTTCACTAATCTGTTAGATTAGAACTTAGTTGGTAGGAAAAAAATGACATAAACCCCAAACATGTTCTCATAATATTTCTTCTAAAAAAAAAAAAACGCTTCTGCTTTTTTTGCCTTTAAAGATATTTAAAATAAAAACTGTTTGCCTAGGTATAAACAAAAATGCCAGAATAAGACAGGATTAGTGACGTACACCTTTAATCCCAGCACCAGAGAGACAGAGACAGGCAGAGCTCTGTGAGTTCAAGGCCAGCCTGGTCTACAAAGCGAGTTCCAGAACAGCCAGATCTGTTACACAGAGAAAGCCTGTCTCAAAAAACAAAGCTAGAAAGGAAGGAAGGAAAGAAGAAAGGGAGAAAAAGACACAAAAAATTCCATAACTTCTTTTTTTTAACAAAGGCACCCAGGTAACGCGGGGTGTGGGTGGGGGGAAGAGCAGAGCTGCAAGATTCAAAAGATCTAATTTTCACAAACCCAAGCCCAGACGTTTTTCTTACATCCTGTTTAAGACAAACTTACAGACCTATGGACCACTGCTCCCCACTAACTGGAACTCTGCCTTTCAGTCTGCCATGTGGATGCACCTGAAGTTAGATATTTAAGACCAGCTGTGCAACAGTTGAAACTATATGTCTAAAAGAAGGACCGCAGATGTGCACAATCCTGCCATTAGAACACATAAGCTGCATGTCGGGATTTCTTAAACTTGCAAAAGGATAATTTCAAAGTGTAAATTCAAAGTTTTTCACTTACATTCTTTTATAGTCTGGGACAAAACCCTTAGATTCAGATGAATTTTTCTTCCCTGTTGTTTTACAAATTTTGCTGTATTTCTTGCTTTCAATATTTCTTGATGACAAGTTAGTTGTAAAAGAATCAGAGCCATGAAGTGATACATCAGTGTTTTCTTCTGTCTGAGAATAATCAACAGTCACAATCATGCATATTGCTTCCCATGTACATATTAGATAGAACATTCAGCTAAAGGGAGTTTTGTTTTAAAAAGATCTTACTCAGTCAAACATTATTATTCTAAAGAATATATGTATCTCTTAATAGGCTGTGTAACTATAAAATGCACAGCATTCATGAATATATAGGTGTAAAGCTTTTTATCATGTTTTCAAAACAATCATTTTATGACAAAAATAACTATTTTCAGATATAAACCTAAGGCATAGTCCATACAAGAAAAAAATTATAAATTTCACTCCATGAAAATACATTAAAAAAATACATACTCTATGAGAAAAACCATCAAGCGATTGAAAGGATGGCCAGAGACACTGGGAGGACGTATTTGCAAAGGACACATTTATTAAAGAATTATTATTCTAAAATATACAAAGAACTGTGCATGTTGCATGTATATGTGTATACACACATGTGTGCATGCAGATGTATTCATCCTTGTATTATGAAGGCAAATTTAGAAATGGGTAAAAATTCTGAACAAATTTTGCCACCTAAGATGTACAGATATCAAATAAGTTTTATGAAAAAACGTCATGTTTTTAGGAAATAGCAAATTAAACAAGACACCATTATAGGCCTGTTAGAATGGTAACAATGTAACAATGGAAACTATAGAACAATAAAAGAAACTCAAGAAGGGGCTGGAGAAAATAGCTCAGTACTTTAGAGCATTTTTAAGCTCTTGCAAAGAATTCCAGCTCACTACCATCTATAACTCCAGATCCAATGCCATCTTCTGACTTTTGCATGCATCAGAAATTCACATAGTGCATTTAAGACATGGAAGCAAAACACTCACGCACATAAAATAAGTGTAAAAAAATATGAAAGTGAAGACAAGAATAGATGATGAATACACTATTTCATAAATTGGAAAAAACATATATTGTGTATCACACAAAGCAACCTATAGGGTTGATGAAATTATCAAAATTAAAATGTTACTTTTTACAGAAATGTAAACAATCCTAAAATTTGTATGTAACTATAATGGGTTCCAAGTGCCAGAACAAAATGAAGTTGGGAGGGAGATGTGATGTAGATCTCTGGAAAAGCAGAAGGAAGGGAGCTGGGGCAGATATGACCAAGATATAGTGCATACATATATGAAATTTTCAAAGAATAAAAAAAATAAAAGAATCAAAAAAAGAGATTGACAGAATTCCAAGTGATTCTAGATTCTGTCAAGTTGAAAGCCCTAATCATCACAAGTAGTTGTTATCAAAAAGATTAATTGACCAAAATGTGGAGGAAAGGGGAAATATGTATTGTGATGGTGTCTTGTGGAATATTAGTTTAATATGTATTACATGTGTTTATGCTATGTAATACCTGATTGATGATGCAAAGACATGTTGCATTCTTTTATGTTGCATTTGTTTAACTGTAGAGCTGTGTTTCTTTGCCTGTCTAAAACACTTGATTGGTCAATAAAGAGTTAGATGGCCAGTAGCTAGTCAGGAGCCAGAAATAGGTAGGACTGCCAGGCAGAGAGAATAAACAGGAGGAGAAATCTAGACTCAAGAGAAAAGCAAGGAACAAGGGAAGGAGAAGGAAAAGAGGCTGCCAGGGGCCAGCCACCCAGTCAGCCACAGAGTAAGAAGGAAATAAAGATATATAGAATAAAGAAAGGTAAAACCCAGAGGCAAAACATAGTTAAAGAGAAATAAGATAATTTAAGTTAGAAAAGCTAGCTTAAAACAAACCAAGGTAAGGCTGGGTATCTATAAGTAAGAATATCTGTGTATTCATTTGGGAGCTGGGTGGTGGGCCCCCACAGAATTAAAAAAAAAAAAAAAAAAGAACCAGCTACACTTTAGGCACCAAATGTTGTTTTGCATTCAACACAGTGGCTGGGCCTTAAGCAATTGCTGTCCCAACCAACAACTGCAATTTCACAGCTACCAGCAGCAGTTCAGCCACACGGGTCAGGAATTCTGTTCCCTCAGACTCTGGCTCTATCATGGCTGCTAAAGGAAACTATACCTAAATCTCTACCCTTCTACAGAACTCAGGACTCAAAGGTTGAGGTGAAATCCTGCTAGCTCAGAAAGGCTGAATAGCAAGTAGCTAACCTTCTCCCCTGACAAAAGGGTCATCCTCACAGGTGGTAAGGCCTCCCCTAGGTCTGGGTTACCTCACTCAGGAAGGTTTTTTTCTAGTTCCATTCATTTGCCTGCAAACTTCAAGATGTCATTGTCTTTTACTGCTGAGTAATACTCCATTGTGTAAATGTACCACATTTTCTTTATTCATTCTTCAGGTGAGGAGTGGATAGGGCTTGGGATGGGGAAGAGGTAGAGGGGAGAGAGGGGAAGCTGGGGCCGGTATGTAAAATGAAGAGGAAAGTTTTTAAATAAATAAATAAATCTTAAAAAAAAAAAAAAGAAAACTTTCCCCCAAGACAAAGAATAAGATAACATGCACTTATATTCATTCAGTGTTGTGCTGGACGCCCTGAACAACTGAACTAAATTAATGCACCTGAGCAAATAAAAGTATAAAAACTAAAAAAGAGGGGAGTGTCCTTCTGTTCAGTTCCCACTAAAGAACCCTTGCTACACTTACTTCCTCCCTACCACTTCCTGTCAGCTAGTTACTGAATCAGCCTCCTGACCCCAGGTTAATTTTATTTAATAAAACAAATGTAACACATTTTTGCATCATTAACAAAGGCAGAAACAAATGTAACAAACCTTTATAGGGTTAAAATAATTTTCCACAACAATGGTGGGTACATAAACTAATACAGCCAACTTGGAAAATAGTATAGATGTTCCTGAACATAGCCGTCACATAATACAGCAACTCAGAAAAGCTAAAAATCAAGGTATTGAAGAGAGGTCAGCATTCCCGTGTTCATTTTAGCAGGACTCATAATAACCAAGCTAGAGACTCAACGTAAGTGTGCAATGATTGGTAAGTAAATAAAGGAAATACGCATAGACACAGCACAATGCCATACTGCCTTAAATAGAAGCTCAGTCACTTGCAAAAGTGTGAAAGGAACTGGAAGGCATATGCTGCGTTAGATGAGCCAGACACAAAGAAACAAATAATGTAAGATCTTAGTTACATGTGGAAATCAAAATATTGGTCTCATAAAAATATAGAAGAAAAGTGCTTATCAAGAGGTGTGTCTTGGGGACTGGAGAGATGACTCAGAGGTTAAGAGCACTGGCTGCTCTTCCAGAGGTCCTGGTTCAAGTCCCAGCAACCACCACATGGTTGATCTGGTGCCCTTTTCTGGCGTGCAGGCTTACATGCAGGTATAATACTTTTACATAATAAATAAATATTTATAAGAGGCATATCACTTATCAAGAGACTTTAGGCAAGTGGAGTGATGGCTCAGCAGGGAGAAGTGCACACTGCTCTTGCAGAGACCCAAGTCCAGTTCCCATCATTCATATCATTAGATTCTCAACTGTCTACAACTAAAGCTCCAAGCAGCTAATATGGTCTTCCAGACTCTGCAGACACCTGCACTCATGTAAAATGAGAGAGCCACTTGTTGCTTTCCAGCTGCCTGGCTAGCTTAGACCAGCAAAGTTTCAGCATGTCTGACTCTGGCAGCGGCTCCATGGCATCTCTCCAACTCTGCCCTTCTTTCTCCCAGCATTCACCTTAGTTTTCCCTGGCTAGCTAAGTTCTGCCCTGCTATAGGTCCAAAGCAGTTCCTTATTCATTAACCAATGAGAGCAACACACAAACAGAAGGACCTCCCACACTACACTCACGTACATGTAAACACACACACACACACAGAGAAATTAAATGTGAACTTTTTAAGATGCTGGCAGCTCACTACACCCATATGCATCTGGGTAGCACCAACTGAACTCAGTGGGTTATTGAACAACAAAAACAACATGAAGTTAGGAAGGAGACGTGTTGAGAGAGTCCAGGGGGAGTGAAGAGGAGGAGAGTGGTAGCTGTAACTAAGATACAGTGCATGCATGTATGAAATTCTCAAATAGAAACAGACTGATATGAAAGAGGAAGGATAGAGAAAGGGAAGTTAAGGATCAAAGGGGGCAAAGTTTCAGTTAAACTGAAGGAATGTTTTAATAATCTAATGTACTGACTGCATGGTGACTATACTTGTAATAATATATAATACCAGCAGTTGCCATGACTGTCGGTTGCCACCAAAGCTAGCTAGTAGGACTATTGCTAAAGACGCCACACATAGGAAAACCAAGCTGACAATGTTCCCTCTCTGCTGGCTAGACAGCTCAACAGGCTAGACGCTGCTCCACAGGCTGCTGGGAGAGAACTGTCAACAACTGTCTCGCTTGGCTGTGGCCCCTGGGTGCAACAATACTGACTGGCCAGGCAAGATGAGCTCACAGGTAAATTAATAGCAAACTAATCGTGGGGATAATCAACCACTTTCTGATTGGATCTGATGCCTGCTCCACAAAGGGGGATTCACACGTCTAACTGTAAGCCTGGTCTGCTCCACAAAGGGGGATTCACACGTCTAACTGTAAGCCTGGTCAACAGCCAGAAGGATCATAAGTCCTCGTGCGGAAGCTCTTTCACTAAATGATGTGCCTGTCCAACCGCTTTCTAAATAACTATGTTTACACTCATGGGGAAGTGCTATTAGCTTTTATAAGAGAAGCTTCCTTTACAGTGGTCAGTGGTGACTATAACTAGTCAATAATACAAATATAGCTAGTCATAACTAGTCAAACTATAAACAACTAGACAAAACATAAAGGACTATGGGATACTGCAGTGGTTTGAAAGAGAATGGCCCTCATGGGCTCTTATATTTGCATGCTTAGTCCCCACTTGAGGAACTATCTCAGGAGGATCAGGAGAGGTAGGCTTGTAAGAGCACGTGTGTCCTTGTTTGGAGGAGGTGGTCACTGGGAGTGGGCATTGAGGTTTCAAAAGCCCACACCCAGCCCAGTATCTCTCTCTCCTCTCTCTCTCCTCCCCTCCCCCTGCTGTCTGTGGATCAGCAGGTAGAGCTCTCAGCTGCTGCTCCAGGGCCATGCCTGTCTGCTCCACAGCATGATGACAATGGATGAATCCTCTGGAACTGTAAGTAAGCCCCCAGTTAAACCCTTGCTATGGTAAGAGTTGCCTTGGTCATGGTGTCTCTTCACAGCAATAGCACAGTAACTAAAACAAGTGTCCATCATTAATGGCTCAGAGAACATCAGAGAAGGAGTAAAAAGAATCAAAAAGCTAGAAGGGAGCAAGTGCTGTGGAGCTCTGGTGTCCAGGCACGGTGTGCCGTGGGATTCTTGGACTCGCAGCAGCTGTGACTGTCTGCACAAGGTCTCTACAAGATTGAGCCTATCCACATCCTGTCACAGAAGGGTGAGGGGCTAGAAGAACTCCACCCCTCCCCAAAGAACCTATCTCATGTTGACAGGAATGCAAAATGGAATAGCCACTTTGACAAATGCTTAAATTGCTTGATCACCTAAAAATTATCATACCAAAAAGAGAAAATATATTATATTTACATATGCTAATTTCTGTATATAGAATACCATGGTATGTGTTACAAGCACTTTTGATATAGTACTACATTATTGCTGAATTATTCCAATGGATGTCTATTAAAAGAGTTCAGGAGTCATCAGTTATTAGGCAGGTTCATCAGAACCTTATACTCTAAATATTTAACAATCATGAATAAAAAGCAATCATAAAACTAAGTTTAGAAGGAGAAGAAATCTTTTTTAAAAAAAAACTGTGTTCAATAATTTACCTTGCAAAATAAATGTGTTTTCTCCATTTTTCTGCTTGGAGGTAAATTCTGTCCGTTGAGACTCAAAGGTCTTGATGAATAAATGCAAAATGAGCAATAATATAAAAGAATTTCCTGACAAGATATAAACAGAAAAAAGAAAGAAAAGATCATATTCCTGTTTAAAAGGCAAAAGAATTATATTTATTTGTTTGAAGTTGCCTCTTAAATGTAACGTTCAGACTATGATACCTAATAAATGACATCAATATAGGCTAGTGGGCAAAAGCTAGGAAAAGCAGCTAATAGATGATAAATTAGAGATCACCCAGCTTCTTAAGCTTATTTTCTTAGTATACAGAGAAGTAGAGAAATGGACCTCAAATGACATGAAAGAGAAACCCAATTATATCTATTCAAACAAACCCTAAGATACACAAGTGCTAAAACAACCACCACCATGTTACTGAGTGTTTAATATATGCTAGGCATTACGATGAACACATTGATAACTGACAAATCTATTTCACATATTGCTCACAATTACCCTTTAAGGAATTGTCATTGTCACTATTTTAAAGAAACACAACCAGCAGAGGAATTAGAATTTGAATTCGGGAAATCTAGCTCCAAAACTGTTGGTCTCCAATACCACAAAATACTGCCTCAAAGCATTACTACTGCATGGGGCTGGAGATATGGCTTAGAGATTCAGAGCAAATACTGCTCTTAGGATACAAGTTGGGTTCCCAGCACCCATGTCAGGCACCTTACAACTGCCTATAACACCAGCTCCCCGGACTCTGATGCCCTCTTCTAGCTGCCTCAGGCATGACACTCACGTGTATAAAGTCACTTAGACACACACATACACATAATTTAAAAGCTTTTTGGAAAAAAAATTGGAGGGGGGGAGTCAATGTCTTTGCAAACAAAAGTATTTTAACCTGGCTTCACACCAAAGACTTTCACGTCATACAAATGTAATAACCAACATTTTTTTTAATTCACAATTTTTTGACTAATATTCAATCCATATTTGATGAGCTATTCATTACACTGTTAGTCCTATTACAGTGCTGGTTACAATCATTAGTGAATTTTTTATATTATAAATTATTAATATTCTTGGACAGGTTCCCACAATTGCAGAGTGAATATCAACATGGCTAACGCCACTGATGAATGCTCAGACATTAACCTCCAGGTATCATATTTGCTAAACAAGAGAGCCTCCGCCTCACGCAAGAACTTATGCTGTGGAGGATTCCCACCAGCCCTGCCTTTGTGAGGTAAAACCTTGAGAGTAGACACGGAAACACGGAAAACTTCCTCAACATGACAACAAATGATCTAACAGCCAAAGGCACAGGCAAGTTTCCCAGCCACTAAGTCGCCACCTACCTAGGACAACCATTTGACTGACCACCGGGATACCTCTCCACCTTTCTGGAATGTTCCTTCCTCCTGTTACAGTGAGGTTCGCTTTCTCCTTTAGCATGCATTCTCAGCCTCAGAGGTGGCTTAATCCTCTCCTCGGCCAGTCTGGCCTCTCCCTCTCTCAACTGAGCGTCCTGTGTGGAGCCTTCCCAGGATGCTCTAGCTCCGCCCCTTCTCGCGCTCCCTCCCAGCGAGACCCCGCCCCTGAGATCACCTGATCAGACCGAAGCTCCGCCCATGGAACTGCCTTGAGGAGTCAGGCAACGACTCCCCGCCACGGGGTCCTCCCAGGCTTCCGGGTCAGACGCTGACCTGGCTAGCACCTGCCGCCTGGGCGCCTCCGGGAAAGCACAGAGGTGGCGCGCGCGCGTTCCCACACCTCACAAGGGCCTGTGACCTCACCCCGATCCAACCGAGGCCGGTGGTGGACACCATTGGGAGACTGTCCTCCGACTGTGGTCCCAGCTGCCTCCTGCTCAGCTTTCTGTCATTCTCTGATACTCTCTGCCCCACTGTGGCCTGTCCCCAACTTCAGGTTTGTCGTCTGTCCACCCTTCGACTACCTCCACCCTGGCTTCTAGCACCTTCCAGGCCACCTGGTCTCCAACGGGCAGCGACTCAAGGTCTTTTGTCCTATTTGTTGCTTTAATTAGGTCCAGCGCTTTCTTGGTGAAGTTTAGAGTCAGAGGATGGGGAGGGGGTCGCCCTACTGATGAAATGCTGTTAGCAGGGAGACAAAGAGATGATGCCTGGCTTCCGTCGCTATTGTATCCCTACGGTCTATGAATCCAGTTCTGTGACTATAAACGGTTTTTAGGCCGTACTGAATTTGTAAATGCTGTGAAGTAAAGACTGATTTGAAAATACTTTTCTCCAAAAGTCTGTGACAAAGAGTCTTAAAAAAAAAAATAACAACAGCAAAAACTTTATTGCATATTTTTATTTTTAGGGGGAATGCCCTACACATGCCATAGCATACATGTGGAGAATAGGAAAAGATTTAAGAAGCTGGTTCTTTCCATCATCTGGTTTCCGGGTATTGAACTCATGTCATCTGGTTTGGCTGCATGAACCTTCATTCTCTGAGCCGTCTTGCTGGCCTTCAAGTAGCTTACCTTTATAAACAGATCAGTGAATTTGCTCATACTGTAGCCTGTCGGGAGCCATGCATCCTAGTCTCAGATCATATACATATGACTAACCTGTCCATGGCGAGGCACCCATGGAAACAGACTGTCACTTGGCAAGAACCAGTAGTCTACAGGACAGCGTAGGAATCTGCAAAATTCCTGTAACTTGCAGGCGCTTTTCTCTCTCATGATTATTGTTGATCCTTTGGGCAGTTTTTAGATTTCCTTTGTCAGTCACACATGCAGCAGCTGAAATTTTCCCAGGAAATTCTGGTCTTTCTCAAATATTTTACCTGAAGTTTCAGCAGAGAGCTAATGCTTCTCTAATCTCTTATCCGGAATTACTAGCTACAACTCCTAGTCCTGGGAACTTTGCTGAGTCAGTGGAGACAGTCGGGAGCATAGGAGAACACGACACTTGGAGCAGTAACCATGTCACAGTTTTGGAGAGGAGAGAAGCCATGCACACACAGAATAGGGAAAAGGCCTCAGGAGTACACATAGTGCCAACTGTTGAATTAGTTCCCTGGACACGAAGCATTTAGAATCAATGATCGGATCTAGAATGATCCAATGGGAAAAATACAATGCAAAATGTGGGATGACAGCTCCATCTTTACCACACACAGGAGCTTATATTGGTGGGAGGAGCGTGGTGTGGTGGATGGGAAAAGAGCGCCTTACCAATGACTGCCTTCTGCAGAGAGAGGGTGGCTTGGGCCCTCTTGGAGAAGGGGGAACCGTATAAAAGCATATCCTGTAGACATGAAAGAATTGTCTGGGTTTGAATATTGTCCTTTACAGCATTGTGCCCACGTCAATTACTTCTTAACTTTGTCACTACAAGTAGCTGCCAGATGACATCAGTGCTGCAAGAGCAGGATGCGTCTGGCTGATACTTATTTAAACCTGCAAAAATGCTGAACTCTATGTCTAGAATAATGTGGGAAAATGTATTTTGGGAAGCACAAAGGGGAACAATGGGGGCTTTCATAATGATTGCGATGTGGTTCTTAAAATATTATGCATTTCTTAAAAGGCAGAAATAGGAGTCAATAGTAAAACTGTTCATATAACTCTGTTTAAGTATAAATAAAGAAATTTGCTCCCTAGGCAATTTTTAAACATAAAATACATAATAGTAACTGAATACATAAAATAGTAAGTGAACATGATGCAACAGATTTTAAACTGTGTCCCTCTTATCTAGCCAGAACTTAGTAGTGCAATGCTGTGTATGTAAAGCCTTTTACGTCCGACTTTACGTGAAATGTATAGTAAAGCCTTGTGTCTGGCTTTGAGTGAAGTATTTCAGCAAAGCCTTTGCTTTGCAATGTTTGGGTTGATCATAGAGGCTGGGAAATTGTTTTGAGTCTGTTTAAACCTTGAAGAGTTGTTTCTCTGGAGAGTCTGCCTTTGGTGTACATGAGAGCTTGCAGCTGTGCCGACCTTAGTCCTAAGACGCTCCTGGCCGACCTGGAGTTCTTCCTTTTGATTATGGCACAATCAAAAGGGACTGAGATTTGTGTGGGCTGTCTGCTCACATGGGCAGCAAGAGCAAGATGACTTTGGTAGTTGGGACCTTTCCCAATTAACCTTGTAATTGTTTGAATAAAGTAACTGGAGTGAGCTAGCTGGGTGTCAGTCTTTTCCAAGAAGGCTGTAACAAAGGGAAAATGAAGATTTAGCATCTCTCTCTTTCTCTACTGTGACACCTGCAACCCAACATCAAATAATATTGTACCCTTTGAGCAATCCCCCTGTCCCTATTCTGTCTACTTCTCTGACAAACAACTATCTATTATCTACTTCAAGACATCTGTTCTCACATTCCACATACATGTGAGATGATGCAATGTTTATCCTGGGCCTGGCTTACTTCTTGTAGCAAAATGCCTATCCATTTCCTTCATGTTGTCACCTTTTAGAATTTCCTATTTTAAGGCTAAAATAATCTTTAGCTGTGAATGTATACATCTTCCTTATCCATTCATTCATCAATTGGCAGTCACTTTTGCTATCAGATCTTGGCGATCATGAATAGTACAATAATAAACATGGCTGTGTAGCTGTCTTATGATATACTGATTTCCCTTCTCTTGGGATTACTAGATCCTATAATGTTTCTACTTGTTGTTTGAAAACCCTCCATCCTATTTCCATGATGGTTATAGTGGCTTACATTCCACCAATAGTATACAAGGCGCTTAAAGGAACACTGCTAACTGGCCTGCTTCCCCAGAGGTTCATTCAGCTACCTTTCTTATTTACCCAAGAACCCCTGTGCAGGGGTGGCACTGCCCACAGAGGGCTAGGTCCACCTCTGTCAATTAAGTAATCAAGAAAATGCCTCCACAGACATGCCTACTGGCCAATCTGATGGAGTCAACTTGTTAAGACGCCCTCATCCTAGCAATTCCCCAATTGATTATTGCCGCTCCCCAGGTATCTCTACTTCATGCCAAATTGATAAGATCTGTCTTTACATCTTGT